ACATTATATATATTATTTGTTATATATTGAGTGCCCTTGGTTTCTTTCCACAGTCCTGAAAGTGCGTTTAGATAATACATTTCACATTAAAAATTAGGGTCGAATTGATCATTATTTATTTTATAATGTCTTTATTTATTTACTTTTTAAAATTTACAGTTCATAAGCCTTCCCTCAAGGAATATGTTTGTGTGTTTTCTTCTAGAATTTTGAAGTTGTCAGTTTAAACACAACTGTATTTTTGTGACGTTTCAAAATTTAATATTTCAGCATCTTCAGCGGTTCTCTATGGTTCAAATGTTATTAAATATGGTAGGTAGGTTCGTTTTCTAGACAGAACTGCTGTCGTAGAATAGTAGGTTCAGTCAATATTTCGACTTTTTAAAGCTATTGTTTATAATTTACGTACATCTGCAGCTCCTGAAAACAAAGCTAGAAGGTTGAAATTTGTATATAAATTTAGTTGATGTTGTAGAATGTTACTTTGTTGGTCTCCTGAGGGTATTTTATATGAAAGGGGTCTTTCTCTTGTCTCATGGACTCCGAGTACAGCAAACAGATTAGACCGAATATTTTGGACGAATATGCCTTGCGGATAGTACCACTCCCCCCTAAAAAAGTGGTGCGGTAGATGGGAGATGAGTTGGCTGCAATAAATGAGACCAAGTCCTGGGGACTATTAATTTGCCTCTACTAATGTGTGCGGCGATTATGTGCAAGAGCAAAAAGCCACCCCACTTAGGACTGTCTGGGAAAAAAACAGTATTTAAGGCAGACCTGGGCTATGAGTTTGCTCTCTCTGGTTCAGTAGGTGTCAATTAAATGTGGATATCGATAAATAACATTATAATGACAGGATAATACATGTTTTTTTTTTAAATTTTGAGAAAAAATATATTTGTTTATTAGTTTATGTAATTCACACTTCTTTACACTTTTTAATTTTCAATTCATCAAAACTTGGTGATAAATTCCCTGTAAAAAAAAATTGGTTTGCAGCACTAGCGGATCCAGGATTTAATTTTTGGAAGGGAGGGGGCTTCAGCCCGAGAGCTCTTTTTTTCATAAAAATGACGATATTTACTTTGGAAAAAAAGAAAGAAACTAGCTCTCTATATGAAATGGTGTTTAAGTGATTCCTAAAGTCCTTTTAAATGTAATTACACGAACAATAATACTTTAAGAGATAATTTTTTAATATTTTTTTCCATAAAACATGGTTATATTTTACCATTTTTGGTGGGGGGGGGGATGGGCTTCCCTAAAACCCCTCCCTCTCTCTCTCTCTCTCTCTCTCTCTCTCTCTCTATATATATATATATATATATATATATATATATATTATATATATATATATATATATTTTTAGAACTTGTTTATTGAGAAATATTACAATTTGTCTCGAACGATATTTGTAATAGTGTCCAGAGATCACATTCACACATTATGTACAATAAATAAAAATAAATCATACAGAAAAATAATGTATAAACAATAAATAAGAATAAAATAACCTAAAAATAAATAAATAAAAAAAGAACACATACATACCTACATACATTATTTACAATCAGGCGAGGGAACTCCTGAGCTAGCCTTGTCCTTCCAACTGTGGAGGGAAAAGCATGACTCCAGGAGATCCCTGCACTTATCTCTCAACCGTGTCACTGGGGCTGAACCCAGTGAAGATCGAGGTAGAGCGCTTTAGCCACACACACTCATCCCATGAGTGGGGAATCTGGCCATTGCCAGAACTCTAATATTTAAAAACTATAAAAGGTTGCGGGACCACTGCCGTTTTAACCTCCTTGGAGGATTATAGGGATGGATGAGGATTGTGCAAGAGGATTCGGATGATAGGTAAGGTTCTGGTGAAATTTGGAGAATTTTCCCGAGATAGGTCGAGGACAAATGGGATATTAAGGTCATGGTGTAGGGTTTTGTTGGTTACATAGAAAGGAGTATTGACTATTCTTGGATTGGATGGGTTTGATGTTGGAAAATTTTGCTGTTCCCCACAAATCAAGTCCATAAGTCCAAATAGGTTTCAGTATTGTCTTGTAGATAAGCATTTTGTTTTCAATAGAAAGTTTAAATTTTCTATTTAGTACCCTGAATAGTTGTCCGTTAAATTCCTGTCTTTTAAGTCTAGAATGGGGGTTCCATGTTAGTCATCTGTCTAATAGAAAGCCAAGATACCGGACTGTGTCTGAGAAAGGTATTTAATATTAATTTACAATATCTTATTTGATTTTTACATAATGAATGCAGTAAGACTATTTATGAATATGCTGTACATTTTGTTTTTGTACATTTATTTTACCATATATAAGTTAAGAGAGGCCATGGAGAAAAATGTTGCTTGTTTCAATTAAAAAAATAAATACCTCCAGTAAGAAGAGATAAAGAAAATGCAAAAGTGGAATTCAGGACTTTTTTTTCAATAATTATAACTGCAAAGGTGCTCTTTAAAACCAAGCCCGCAGAGATGACCAGAAGGGGGTTTGATGGCGCAAGTTGCACCATCAAAATTTTTGAGTGAGACAAAATTTAGCGAGTTTTTTAATTTTTGAGAGGGTAACATTTCGGTGTTCCATTCTAAAGGACAAGAAGAAAACATGGAACAGGACGCAACGAGTGTATAATTGTTTAAGTTGTATGATTTTTTTTTAAATTATACCTTAGCTTGCTCTGTTTTAAGAACAGCTAAGCAATAAAATAACTCGGAGTGGGGAGAATAGATTCTTGCACCATCACCTCGGGTGGGGGGAGGGGCACCCCTGCAAGCCGGTATTTCTTAGCAAAATCTTTTTTATTTCAAGAATTTAAAAAAATCAAACTCTTATTATTTTAAAATTAAAATTATTAATATTGTGGATTATTATTTGTGTTTTATTTAATTTGCACACAAACTCTGATATTAAGTAGTCCCTCCGCCTTTGTCTCTTCTACTCTTTAAAATTTACTGTAAGATTTGACCTCTTAAGGGATTTGTCTTTCAAGGAATTAGCAATATATAGTCTCTCAGTTCTTAATAGCCAAACTCTGGGAGATGATTCTAGACAAAATTTCCAATAAAAAAGTTCATTTGATGCATGGACTGATTCCAAACGGAAAAGGAGTTAAGACCAAAGTTGTATTCTTTTTAAGGTGGTCATGTTTTTTATTGAATAAGAAGGAATTGTTAAAGATAATTAAATTTTAAGTAAACCATTGTAAAGTAGCCAAAATTCTATTTGAAGAAAGAATGATTAAATTTACTAAGGTCATTGATAAAAGAGACCTTCAGGAGGTCTAATACAGCCGCTGTATAGAGATATGTTTTTCTGGTATGGGTACCGTAACTGCAGCTGTAGACGAAAAAGTCCCTTTTATCATTGACCTGAGTAAACTTAAAAGTCTGTTTTATCATTGACATTAGTTAATTAATGTTTTCATAAAAAAAAAAAAAAGATTGTCTAGTTTAAGGTGGTATAATTAGAATTTAATTATCTTGTATAGTTGATGCTCCTTATTATTTAACCAACAAAACCCTACATCATGACCTTAACATCCCATTTATCCTAGACCTTACCCCAGAAAAATTCTCAAACTTTCATCAGAACATTATCTATCATCCCCTTGCACAATCCCTATCCAGCATCATCCATCCCTACAATCCTCCTTGAAGGTTGAAACGGCAGTGGCCCTTTTGTGAATAAGTATATATGAGAGTTTTGGCAAGTGCCTCTGCTCAGCCTATACTGGTCTTTAATACCAGCAGTGCGACTGAGTGAGGGACGCTTGGATCTCCTATAGTCCTGCCTTTCCTTTCTTCAAAGGCTTGGCTCAGAGATCTTGAGTGAATAATTTTTTTAGATATTGTATAGAAGCATGTATGTACTTGGGTAGTTCTTTTCATTAGCTTAGTTTCTTTTTGTTAAGTTTATATACATTTACTTTTAGTATTATGTATTATTTATTGTAAATGTGCTCTTTGAACACTATTATAGATGTCCTTAATTGTGACAGGCTGTAATATCTCTCAATAAATATGTTTAAAAAAAACATTATCTTGTACAATTTTTGAGTAATTGCTTCCTATTCAACAAACAATGTGACTACCTTAAGAAAACACCAAATTGGTCTTAACTCCTTTTCTGTCAGGAATCATAGGAAATTTTTTGTTGGAAATTTTGTCTAGAATCATCCCCTAGTTTGGCCATTAAAAACTGATATGATATATGATATGTTGTCGGTGTTTTTATTTTCTGATGATCCATTGTATATTAAACACAAATTTCATTATACAAATGTGTGTGTGTAATTATGCTGTTATACAGTAAAACATTACTTTTGTTGCATCTGCATACTTTAATAGACTTGTCAGATTGACTAGCTTGCAACCATTGAGGGATCCTCCAATCAGTCCTCACAAACCTGTTGCACTGATAGATTATATGAAAAACTGTTTCATCCTCCTCACTACAGAAGACTCTGCCAGCCTGAGTTTGAACATATGATAGATTGATTTATTGCGACCCATATAGATTGATGTAACATTCTTAACAGCTGCCTTGTTTAATACCTTCTTCAGCCGCAGAGGGCATCAAGGAACAGCTTTGAATGGTGCTGCTGCTTGCCAGGTCAGTACTGCTTAAATTTCCCTAATCCTGCTTTGATCATAACGCAGGCGCATACGACTTTTCATTGCCTGGAATCTCAGAATAATCTGCCACCCATTCAATGGTGGATGGAACTGTTTATGTTGTGATAGCCAAGTATTTTAAAGCATAAATTGTAGCATTCTCGAGTCCAGTAACACCGGTTCAAATCTGGTTTGAACGGGTTGAAATTAATTTTGTGGCCGACCCACCGAATATTTTTCAACCTTCTCTCTCTGGTTATAATAGCTTTGGTTGTTAGAAATAATAATGTAGGAGATACAAATAAAATAATGGAACTCTTAGTTTCAACTATTACAAAATAAGGGTTTGGAGATTAATTAAAGAATTGATGAAAAACATTATTATAAATATATTATATATATATTACAAATATCAATATTATAAAAAGATAATACAAATGTTTTCTTACAATTTGGTGCATTCCATTATAAATATTGGAAGAATTATAAATAAATACCTCTCAGAGGTAAAAAATATTTCATTTAAATTATAAAGATCAAACACTAAGTGTAACAACCACCACTGATAAAAGAAAAGATTTTTTCAATATCTACCATGTTCAAATAAATAGTTATAATTATTATTGAAAATAAGCATTTCATTTTTTGACTTACTTAAGAATAATTATAATACAATCTTTATAGCAATATACACCAAATCTAAACACAAAAGATTTGGCTAATAGCGTCTAGCTAAAGTCTGGTATAATATAAAATTTAAAAAAACAAACACAAAAATGAAAAATATAAAATTTAAGAAAACTTCATATCATATTTATTTCAATATTACATAAAATTATGTTCATTTACATATATAACTTTTATTTTCTAAATTAAATTATGATTTTTAAATGAAAATATTTCAGATCAACAGTGAGTGTGATGTAAAAATATAATCATGCCCTTTCATTATCTTCTGATGTTAAACAGCAGATTAACTTGATTTTTAAGAAAAATATTTCAAATTTTGATCTTAAACTTTTTTTTTTAATATGAAAAGAATAAAAATTGAGAGAAATTTCATTACATTCGTTGACAGGAATTCAAGACATATTGTAATACATCTTACCAGATATATTCACAATAGTACCTGATGCTCAGAAAACCTAATTTCTAAATGAGATAAAAGTTACTATTAAAAAAAAAAAAATTTGTCGAGATAGTAAACTAGAAAAAATTGTAACTGAAAAATTAAAAAGATATCTGAAATTAAACACTCTACTTAATAAAAATGAAGGCAGGAAACAGTTACAGTGATTAGTTAAAAAATACAAAATAAACCAAACAGAAAGATTGTTTAATTGTTTGTGTGACAATCTCCAAACAAATTTAGAGCATAAATATTAATATAATAATTTTAATAATGTTTTTATTCAAAGCTCTATACCCAGTCCCTTGTCAGGACTTTCAGGAACAATTAAGCTATATGAACATTTCAAAAGATCGCATTGGAATAAAAATGGTTGATGTAGCATGCCAAGCAAGAATAATTAAATTGTATCATAATTCATTATCATAAAAGTTATGATTTCAGATTAATTTAGAATATTTAACGCTGATCCTTATGAATCTCTCTATGGTTAAAAAACCTATAGATAACAAATAGCATAAAAGATGCTTATTATAAAAAAAATTTGTAAGTTTTTCCTTATTTTTTGTAATACATATTTACACTAAAACTTTGGCATTTATGGTAATAAAAAAATAAATATATATAGGCTTTTGATTCTTACAGAGTATTAAAATCTAAATAAGCCAACATAGAACAATGTTTTCACACACACAAAAAAAAAAAAGTTAAAAAAAAAAAAAGTTCTGAAACACAAGTTCAAAACGTATATAAATATTATTCAATTTTGAGCGAAGCCGACCGCATTAAAACCAGTCATTATCTCCACCAACTTCATTTCTGAGGGAAGTGAACAGGATATCCCGAGGCTTTGGTTTAGGTCTCGGATCTTCATCAATTTCAGTTTTGATTGCTCCTGCCTTTCCTAACATCCATTCTAATTCTGAAATGGAAAGAAAAAATTAAAATAAATAAGAGCAAATTGTTAGGTATATATGTTCTATAATAAGGAATAGTCAATAATTAGATACTTGCAAACAAAATGATGTATAAAAATGATTCTCTAGTGTATTAATCAAAGAATAAGATGAATGATCCAGAATACAATACAAACCATCTATTAAAGTGCTTGATATATCAAAATTAATTATATTGAAAAAATACCTATAATGTTGATCTCAACGGGTAACTGTCTAACCAAGACCCCTAAATATTTAGTCAAGTCAAAAAGACTTAAAAAAAAAAAAGTTTATTTAATTTAAAATGAGCAAATAAAAAAAGAAACGAAAAAAGTAAGTAATTAGAAACAAAGAGAAATGCAACAAACTTCTACTTAAACCGAATAAAAATCGAATCCCCTAGATAAATGTATTGAGTTTCTTATAGTACCTTCTTTATAACAAACTAATTCTGTTAGTGCAAGCTGTGAACCACTTTTTGACCCCAAATCAGAAATAACTTTGAAAAAAGGATGATCAGTCAAAATAAAATTAGCAAAAATAAATACTAATATTTATTTTTAACTGACCTTCCAGCCCGAAGTTCAAGCCTTCATCAATCCGACAAGCGTAGGCAGATCTGTCCACGGTCTATCCACACTTGTCGGATTGAACAGAAATGACGAAGACCTGAAGTTGGGACCGAAACATCGGCTAATGTAAAAATAAATATTATTTATTTTGACTGATTACCCCAACCATCCTTCCCTTCAATTATTCTCTACAGTCAACCATCAACCCACAATAGAGAAATAACTTTGTTAAAATGAACTAGAAAGGCATATTATAAATAAACTTTTGTTCTTCATCGCTACATCAAGAGGTTGCAAGGGCCTTAGATTGTAATTTTATAAGTTCCTTGAACTTGATAATGGTTTCATTGATTATATGAACAATCTTAATTTTTTTTTACCTCTCGGTTCTAGCCTGATTTAAAGAAATCCTATTTTTACTAAAAGATTAATGTTGAAGTTTCTAGTATTTTCTTATTTGTATAGATGATATACCTCAATAATTAAACTATTAATCTTACAGAATGTAGCATTGGAGATATTAACAAAAAAGAAGAAAAAAAAAACGAATCATTCAAAGTTCATCATTGTTGACCATAATAAAAAAAGTAATTAAATTGACATGCTTTTGGTCAGCGAATGTTTTAATAAATTAAGTATCATATAAATTGGCTTTTTATTTTATACTAAAATTATAACCATTATTTGCCTACTTATTTTTGCTTTATTCGGATACTAAGAACATTATTGTAACGAACTAATGAATTTTTGCTCCCTTACGAGTTTGTAATGAAGGCTTACTATATAAATCAACTGAGAAAAGTCTTGAGCGCATTTCTGAGTATTTATGTTTTATTGACTTTTTTTTTAAATAATTGAAGCACACCAGAGTTAATGTAAAGCTAAAATATATAAGAATAAAGCAGCCCCCAGCGCTGCAGCAAATAATAACAAAGGTATCCTACAGAAGGGAGCAACATTCACAGTAAAAGGATTTCATGCAATACAATCAATTTATTTCTGCCTACCTTCACATGTAATGTCTTCTCTCCTAAATTCTTGAGGTCCAATAAATTGCTTTTTCATTTCTCCTTCATAATAAACGAATATCGTCGGCAGATTTTTATCAGGAAAGTTAGGGATACAAGTGGTAGATATGCTTTTGAGAAATTTGACAGTTGGAAATTTGTGTGCCAATTCAGATAAATGTAAATTTAGAAGTGAGCACAGAGGTATCCTAGAATGAAAATAATAACAATAATGATAGTGGTTAAAATACATTTACATGGTTTCTTAATTAAATGGAACTGTAGAAAAGCAAATTGCAAAAATTTGAATTTATCTTTCATTTGGGAGTCATTGTTACTGACAAAGGGAGATCACTGATTTCAACAATTTTTTTTTTTTTGTTTTTTTTTTGTGATTCTAAATAAAAAACTATTTGACCTATGTCCTATTGTTCGTTTCAATGGGTCTTATGAACCGAAAATAAATTACTTTGTATAAATGCAGATTAGATTCAGTTTTAGTGTCCTCTAAAACAATGAAATAAGAATTTTTATAGAAATTAAAAAAAAAATGTATATATAGCAAATGATTTCATGGATTTTTTTTTTCCGGCCATTAATAATAAAATAATCATCACATGATTTTCTCCGATCAATGTTAATACAATCGTTGGGCTCGTACCATTCTGTGCAGCCTATAAAGACCCTAAATTCCTGATATTTTTATGTGGATCAGTGGAATCGTCTAGAAGTTATTACAATTTTCATGTTTTTTAAAAAAATTTCAGTCTATTCTAGGCCAAAATAGTGTAAAAAAAATTAATTTTTTGATTGTCAAAGAAATTTGCAAGTAAGAGTTTTTCGAGGGGTAGATAACAAATATATATAATATATAGTAAAACAAAGGTAAAAACAATTTTTTAAGGCTCATAAGATCCATTGGAATGAATGCCAGGACATATGTGTAATGTTCTTTGATTTAGAATCACCAACAAAATTTGGTGGAATCAGCTAACCGATCGATGGGACATCAAATTTTGAAACTTGGAGTTAGTTTAATAGAATTTGATATGCAATTGTTAATAATACTGTTTTTTTAAATAAACAAATCATACCAGTATTAAATTAAACTGTATTTTTTCTAACCAATCATAAATATTAATTAAGTAAGTACAGGTTCTATAGGAAATTGAAATATATGTTTCAATACAACTTGGTTTTTGTTATTTATTGGGAAAATACTAATTCTAAACAATTACATATCTACATAAAACTTAACAGATATTCAAGCTTCCGATATTAATATGCCAATTGTCTCAGGGATTATTGTAATTGTATTATTTCAATATAATAAAATCTATTTGATAAGTGGAACATACCCGGTTTTGTATAAATGAAGAATAACCCATACACCTTCACCAGCTTTGTTGACTTCATTAACATAATCTTGACCTGAAATTTCTGAAACTTGCCCATACTTTGCTTTCTGCATATAAGCTTTTATTTCAGCTAGCCGTTTGTTTTTATATTCAAGAAGAACTCTTTCATCTTCTTCATCTTCTAATAAATCAAGTTCATCTAACGAACAATCTTCCAAATTTTTCTCTTCTGTGAAATCACAAAAATTACTATTAAAAAATAGAAGCTATGAGTTGAAAGAAAAACATTAAAAAAATGTGGTTCAGTATCAGTGATTATAATATGATAATAATAAAGGCCTCAAAAGCTATATATTCATAATCTTTTTTCTTTATTGGTCAATATATATCTGAGATTAAATATCATATTCCACACGAGTGGAATGATAAAATAAGGGATAGTCAAGCATGAGGAAGAGATTATCCATCAAGATGAAAGTTATAATTAAGAAGTTGGTATGAAATAGATAACCAAAGTACAATTTATTTCATTTTAAATTGTTTCAAAACAAAACACTTTAAAGTTTAAGTTCAACGGTCATGTGTAATCTAGCTCATAAAGGCAGGCTAGCATCGGTCAGATATCAATGACAAAACCTAAAATTTAAATTTTAGTTTAAATACATAATTGGTAATTGGTTGACTGTCGTGGATAATGAAGAGAAGAATAGTTGGGGTGGTCAGTCAAAAAATAAATTGATAATATTTATTTTTTACACATGCCGACATTTCGACCTGAAGTTCAGGCCTTCATCAGGACTGTCTCCTTAGTTTAAATAGATATGTAATAATTTAAATGAACAAACGGCTCAAGCAATTTTTGAGTTTGATGGCAAAAATTACTTGGTTAAGTCTCATGGAATGTTTTTTATTTCAATAAAAAAGATGAGCTCAAAATACTGAAACAGTTTTATTTTAAGTATTCTTAAACATTAAGTAAGTTGATGACCATAGATGATATCCATTAATTTCCAATACTTGAACTACTGTATGTATTGAAATATAAAAATAATCTAATTAAAATATATATGGAAATAAAATCTTTCTATCCTAAGCAACGGAATACCCTTGTATATTTACATAACCACATTGGTATATGGTTAGTGAAGTTGAGGTCTATGAATATAGAAACTTCCTGTAATAGTCAGGTTCCTTCCTCTGTGAGTTAGGATTCCTTGCAAAAACATTACTTTCCACACTCATTATATATTGAGTGTTGGATATACTGTTGTAAATTATAGCAATCATACATAACAATGGACAAAAATAGCTTTACATCTCAAGGGGCAAACATACAAAACGTGACATCGAATATACAGAATCATATTAAAACATAGTCTTCAGTTTTGTTCTGATGTGGAAAGCACTCACTACTACACAGTTATACTATCCATGACATAATTTTCAGTAACAACCCAACAATAGGTTTAAGCAGAAAAACAAACATTGTTTGTCCCTCAGGAATAATAGGGGTTTTCTGAAGTCTGTATATTTCTAAATAAATTAATTTTAAGGTACAACTAAACAAATGTCACTCTACTTTAATGGGTGGCACAAGATCTCACGGTCACACCAAAATGGAATTGGTAGAATGGGCGAGTGTGTCCAAAAGTTACTCAATACCTTCTGTCAATGGCACTACAGTCTTTGCAGAACCCTGGCTCCCTCTACGATTTTCTGTCATTCGTCCCTGTCTAAAGTCACTTTTCTCCACCTTCGAACTGTAAGTGTCCTTATGTTTTCCTCCACAAATTCCAGCCACCGCAGTCTGGGATGCCCTCTTCTTCGTCCTCCATCAGGATGTTTTTCCAGAAGCTTCTTCCATTCTCAGGACCTTAACCTTAACTTTAAATTGTGGAGGAGGCAAGGGTTCTGCAAGAACTGTAGGGCCATCGAAAGAAGAAGATAGTGAGCAGAAGTTGAAAGTAGTGATGTAATTAAGTTAATTAATACTCTGATTTTAATAGAAAAGAACAAATAGGGAGTTCACCAAAGTCGTAAATCACTATCTAAATAAAGGGAGTTAACTGTGAACAAGTTGTAAATCATCAGCTTTTCTCAGCATTCCATTTATAGTGTGATTATGAGATCTTGGCCTACTCATCAAAGTGTAGTGACATTTGCACAATGGTACCATATTTTATACGTCTTCTAAAACAATTATAAATAAAAAAGACAGCACTAGTTCACAAGGGTTCCGCACGGATTACCATGTTCAGTTATATAGTAGGAGCTGACTAACATTCGAAATTTAGGCTAAACATCATGAAGCCTGAATTGAACTGTGCATATATTATAGAGCTATGAAAAAGAAATAGTAATAGATAAAAACCTTTAATTATAACATCTCTGAATGCTATTTCACAATATTGTTTTTCTTATTGATGATTTACATTATTCATTATCTCAGATTTATCAGATATTGTTCGTCATTTGTTTCCCCAATACGTCAATTCCTGTCTCGAAAATAAACATGAATTTTTTATTTTTTTATTTTACGAATTATTACAGTAATCCCCATTTTCGGATTACCAAGCAAAATAACTGCAAATAACAATAATTACACAGCTAATTCATTCAATAAAAATAATAGCAACTAAAACGAAAAAAGAAATTTTAAGTTAACAGTTAACTAACTGGCATATCTACGAATCCTGTTGAGATTGGACATTTCTGGAATACATATTCATCTATATAACGATTAACAGATACGTTTTACTTATTAATATTATACACCTTTCTCGCGCAATCTTTAATCTAACATTATTTTCATAAAAAGCGTCTTTGACAACTTAATAGTGGATTCTTATACCTAAGAAATCCAAAAACATACAAAAAATCAACGAACAATTTTAAATCCGACAGTATATTCATAAAAAGCTCTGAAGATTAGAAAATAGTGGATCCCTATATTTAAGAATTTAAAAAAGTTACATAAACTTGATGCTCAATCTCAAATCAGACAGTATATTCATAAAAAGCACCCTCACTAGAATATAGTGGACCCTCGTATTATTAGAAATCAAAAAAAGTTACAAAAACTAGATAGACGATTGCGCAATTTTAATAAAGGCTTGCTAAAATAAATTATAAATTCAATTATTCCAACTTCTATTGAAAAACTTGAATAACAAATAAAAAGATAATAGATAACTTCAGATTATTTATTATCCAAATGATAAAAAAAAAAATCTTTTATAAAAGACAATATACAACAGTATATGCTTATTTACAGCCACTATATGTAAGCACGTATCAATAAAAATGTTATTTCTAAAATCATTTTTTTTTTAACAGGTATTGACGAAACGACTCCAACATTATTTTATATATTTTTTTCTTTTTCTTTCACAGTAATAACCATTATAAAAATTAATAATTAACAAATTAGTAAATACACAATTCGTTAATAAATTGTTAATAAGGAAGTTCAATGAAGGGAATACGTTTTTTTTTTTTTTTTCAAAAAAACACGGAAAGGGATTTTGTGATGGGGCAATAGCTGACGTCATAAAAGATTGCAACATTCGGTTATCAGGATTTCATGAACAAGTGTGATCGAAGTGATTGTGAACAGTGTGTAATCCGTGTGGAACTCATGTGAACTAGTACCAAAAAGACTAAAAAGAAATAATAGTGAGTTATTATCAAATAACTACAATTATATACATGAAAATTAAGAGTAACATTAATAATATTATTCATATTCTCAGTCATTACTTTTTCTACCTTTCATAATGTCTTATCAAGACGAATGTCAATATTGATATAGAAGATTAAATCAGCATTAAAAAGTTAATAATATTATAGTATCATTGATATTGTATAAGTCAGATATCAGCTATGTGTCCTGTATTAATTTTTATACTTACAATATGTGTGTTTCATGGATGAAAGATTAAAACAAATTAAGAATAATTTTTGTTATTTAGTTTTTCTGTCCTTACACCCAAAATCATGAATTTAGAAAATTATTTTTAACTGTTTTAATCTTTATTAATGGAAAAAAAAATAGTATCAGATTTCTCTTCCTAACCAAATGCAAATTAAGCCTTCCTCATGCTTATTCACTTAGAAAAAAAAAAGTAATTCAAAGCATGATACACTATTACCTTTACTTTGTTTCTCTTTTATAGTCTGCTCGACTAAGTTAACAATGTCATCTTCAGTTATTTCTTTTTCTTTTTTAGGTGGAAGAATTCCTTTGCTTCGCAAAATGTCATTCCATTCAGTATCTTCATTAGGATCCTAATGAGAATAGATTTAGTAAAATTTATAATTTACTATAATCAAAATGATTTAATAATGACTAACCTGCATTATTAAGGCAATCAGTGGTAAAAAACTTGGAGGACCTGACCTGGATTTTGAATTTCACTTTGATAACCTTATAAGGTATCTCTCAACCATAACCTACCTCTAATGAGTCATATTACTCAGAACTGTGCTTTTTAATTAAATATATACTAAAAAATAAGTCACTATCGAATCATTTTGGACAAATAATAAAATTAATAATGTTGTAGGAATTTCTAATAGAGATCTGGAACGATATTATTCAGGCCACTCACATGCTCTAATAATTTAGGGGGGTACACCCAATTTTAAATACATCAGGAATGATAAGTTAGTCATTTGTAAATTATGTAATACATAAAGTGTGTATCCAAGTTTAACCTAAATATTTTTTGTACTTTAATAAATTATGTAAATATAAAAATGTATTGATGGCCTCTGATCGTAAGTAACGGTGTTGGCAAGCCTTATCATACAGTTTTTCTCTTGGCTATGTTCTGTCACCTGTAACGTGTAGTATCAGTGAAGTGCTTATTGTTATGAACTTTGTTGGATACAATTTTATTGTAAAGCGGTTTCATTCAATTCCTTTTAATAAGTAGATTAGTGACTGGCATGCTCCTTTTAATATCCTTTAATGGACTGTGATGTAGGACTGTTATCTTCGGAAATCGATGTTCCGAAGCATCACTCGGATTTAAAAAACATTTTTGCTATTTACCCCCCGAGCTTAGATGGTGTTCTCGAAAGTGATAACATGGGACTAGAAAATACATGGTAGGCATTTATGATTGTCAAGTTATTAATGTTATTTAAGTAATTAACTGAACTGAATGGCTTTTGCATTCCAATTTAAACAGTTTTCTTTATCAACAATGTCTTCTTCCTTAGTTTCGATTGGTTATCTTTACTTAACCATTTCTATAGCATTGTTTATAAACTGTTATGCATTTGTTTAGTTTTATTAAATTATTATGTTTCAATGTTCCTATAATCTTTAATTTGTCGTTGAAGATAAAGAGTTAACACAACTTTACTTTCAGGACAGATGATGAATTTGTTGTACCTCCAATACCTGATTTACCTCCTATCCCACTGCCAGCTCCATCCAATAATGTTGATGTAACTTTTGAAGACACTACTACATCTAGTGCACCAATATTAGAAGAAATTGACTGTCTCTTCTCACCTGTAAGCCAAGCCAATGATGCTCAAGAAGACTCAATACGTAATATTCTGATTATTTTACATTCTTAGTTAAATGTTGATATTTTGTTTAAGTCAGTGATCATTTTTAATACACTGTCGCATGGATAGAACAATCAAAATTTGGATTGGAAATAGATTGTATTGGCTGTCATATATTTGTTGGTTTTATTAGTCACATAAAATAATAACTTACTTTCTTTATATTGTATTTTAAAAATCAGTTAAATTTGTTTTCTTTCAATCTGCTTCTCTACTTTAGATAGTATGTTGAATATATTGTTTTACCAAATTGATCTGTAATGCCTTTGATTGCAATTTAGGCTGTTCTGTTCGGATTAAAACTATTTAAATTACAAAATAGTAGGAAAAATAATACTAAGTAATCGTTCAATAGAATCCATCCAAAAGTTTGATAAAAGATACTCATGATCTGTTAGGAACTTTCTTTATACATAAGTCAGCTTTGTCAATTTTACTTCTTATATTTAAGTTTTGTAAGGTGTAGTACTATTTTACCAAAGATGGGTATTTTAGTACACAACTAAAAAACATCAATTTTTGTAATTCTACAAAACAAAATCATATCGAAACATGATTACTATTTATAAATCCTCTGCTTTATCCCTTAGAATGAAAGGTTAAGCTTTATATTATCCCATGGAAATTTAGTCAGATACTTCTTCACAAGTGTTATCCCAATATCATTAATAGACATATGTTCATACTGAAAACATTAATCCGAAAATGGCCAAATGTGTCTGAAAGTAGGGAGTCATTCAAATCATCAGTTTAGTTCAGGCCTCAATTGAAAATCACCCAGTGGGGGTTTGGCTATCTCCTTTGTATGAGTGAAAGTCAAAAGTTTTGATCTGATTAAAGCTAATTAGGGCCCTGGTCTCGGCTGAAACAAACTTGTTAGTGATTTGTTTGTTTCTTTTGTGCAAGCAGAAGTCTATAATCACAATTTTTATTAAAGGTTTCGTTGGTGAACTCGGTTGTCAATACGTCTGATTTTTTCGAATTTTCATCTACAGTGTAATCTTGTACTTATCTGTTAGGTTGGAGTGAAACTTGTGAAGAAATTAATCTCTCAAGTTGTGTGAGTAATTTGTCCATGAAAGTTTACCGGCAACTGATTAACTTAGAATTAAAAATTCATACCATAATGGATAATTGGATTAATTGATATAAAAATTGCTTTTTAAAACATTTAATTTATTGTTTTATAGTAGCCCTTAAGTTGTTTTTGGCCATATTGTATGAAATTTTGGGATGGACTTATAAAATATAACTGATTATGGTAATAACTCATACTTAGTAGAGCAGAACTTTAAATTACAAAGTATAATTATATGTCGGTTTTTCTACACTTTTAATGATTATTCATTTTGAGATTGTCCATGCAAAACCTCCTAATTCTTAAAATTCATGTTTTTCACAAGCCATCTTAACTGTGATCGACTTTTTTTTATTCTTTAATTTTTCTTTTTCATGATGAGCTTGATGTTTCAATTATAAATAGCTCATATTTCATTTTGAATTATTGCTTATATTTCATGAGACAAGTTCTTGATTGTTTAATTCAGTCAATCAATACCATTTATTGAATAACTAATGAGATTGTTCTCAATCAATAGTCTGTATAAACAAAATTCATGGTCGTAATACATTTAAATCTATATATTAATAAGATAATTTGTTGTTTGTATTAGCCACGTAAAATAATAACCTATTTTCTATACATTATATTGTGGGAAAAAGTTATCTTTGTTTTATTTCAGTCCACTTTTCTAGCTGATATGTAATAAATATTGTTTCACTGAGTTGATGTATTATACCTTAAATTGCAATGCAAGTTGTTTTGTACAGATTAAAACTATTTAAATTAAGAAATAGTCCGAAATAAAATTTTAATTAATTGCTCAGTGGAAACCATCAAACCACAAGGTTTCTATCAAAGCATAGTTGATTATTTTTAAAGATAATTTTGGGAATGGAGTTATTTATAAATATAATTTAACCTTTTGATTTTTATTTTATTTGTTGAGTCTGCTAATGGATGGTTCAAGAATCTTTAATCAGTTGTGAAAGTTTTTTATTTTTCTTTCTCAGTTGTAGCAATATAGAAAATAAAAAACATAGTGCAAGACACAATGGTAACAATATCAATTTTATACATACACTTGGTCAACAAATTATTCATATACCTAGTTTATCCATGAATATATTTTTAATTATTTTTTTTTTAACAAGAAATAACATCGGATCCTAATAATAAACAACATTCCACATTATTTTTATGCAACTTTAGGAAATTGGAAAATTGTATTATTTAATTAACATTAAAAGTTCAAATTTTATAGGCAAAAAAATTATTCATACACTGACACTAGTCTTATTTGTAATAACTTTTAGGTACAAACAAAATATGTTATCAGGTCAATGTCCACACCTAATACCTAATCCATATTTCTTAAGTAAACAAATGTGTTTGTTTAATCCAGTATTAAAAAACAATTCCACAAAGATGGGTCGTAAATCTAAAGAATTAAGTATTAATTGTAAAAATGAAATTGTTAAATTATTTCAACAAGCATCGAGTTATCTATATAAAAAGGGTGAGATATTCTCATAAGATAGTGTAGTATATTATTAAAAAGTTTAAAACCGCATGTGTTGATAATAAAAACACATGCAGAAAACGGTTTCTTACAGTGCGTGAATCGTGAGAAATCATGAAAAAGGCGCAAACAAATCTAAAAATGAGTGCTTGTGATCTAGCAACACACATTACATCTTCTTATGGAAAGACTGTTACACCCCAAACAGTGAGAAATCGGCTGCATGAAGCAGGATATTGAGATAGAGCGGCAAGAAAGAAGCCCTTATTAAATGAAACAAACCAGAAGAAAAGATTGGAATTCGCTCGGAAGTATGTGAACATACCGCTCATGGTTTGAAGTTGTATATGAGCGCTTGTGGGGTAGGCCAACTTGCAACAATCGATGGATTTATGAATGCTAAAAAGTATGTGGATGTGTTGCGAGGTAATTTAAGAAAAAGTTATGAATTGGGGGAAACTATTTGTTCCAGCGGGATAACCATCCCAAGCACATGGCCAAAAAAACTAAAGAATGGCTGTTGTACAACGTTCGCCAAATGCTGCCTACATATAACTCAATCACCAGATCTTTAACCTATCTAAAATTTATAGCCACTATTAGAATTAAAAATTTGAAAATATTTTAGTTCTTCACGAAAAGAGTTGATATGCAATCTTATGAAAAATAAAAGAAGAAAAAAGGCAGAAATTGACTCTCAGAAGACTAACAATCTGGTAGAATCAATGCCCCGAAGACTTCAAGTAGTGATAAGTGCCAAAGGATTTCCTACGAAGGATTTCTTACTCAAATATTTTAGGACTTTTGTTTCTGTTGAGTGGGTTCATGAATAATTTTTTGTCTATGAAATTTGAACTTTTGATGTTAATTAAATTACAAACCTTTCCAATTTCCTAAACTTGCATTAGAATAATGTGGATTGTTGTTTGTTTTTTGGATCTAATGTTATTTCTTGTTAAAAAAAAAATAAATAATTACAAATATTTTCACATATAAACTAGTTATATGAATATTTTTTTTTTCCAACTGTACTTTAAATTAACTCCTTTTCTTTTTTTGTTGGGAAGTTGTTGAATTAATTCAGAGGTTGGCAATAAAAACTTCCATAAAGGTGAACCCAATTTTTATTTGTTACATGTTAATTATAGTTGATGTTTTTTTATCGTATTCCGATCATCAGAACTATCCTGGAAATTCATTTATATTAATTTCCAAGTGTGCTCTTTTGTCTTATTTTATACATTTTATCAAAGGTATTATCCTGAGCTATCTACTACATCACTTGATTGGCAATTGGATATTTGTCTTACCGTCTTAGATATAAATTTCATAAAATAAGATAAAAGAGCTCACATGGAAATTAATATATATGAATTGTGTGGATAGTTCTGATGATTGGAATAGGATCCCGAAATGTCAACTATAATTAAGATTAACAAATGCATAATTTGTTCGCATTTATGGAAGTTTTTATTGCCAACCTCTATTTATGGAAGTTTTTATTGCTAACCTCTAAATTAACTCTGTTTTTCTTAATAGCATGACATTAAAGTATTATTGAATTTTTGTGAAATTTAAAATTTATCACTTAGTAGTTCGTATTTTAAATCTGTTATCATGATGTGATTGGTACTTTTAATGGAAAATTTAATCATACACTTCGTTAATATACACCACTTGAAAAGAACAACTGAGGCCTGTTGTAACAAACAATGGTATTTATCTGAGAAGGAGTTGATCAATTGAATTGGTCAAATTAATACTAAATTAAACAGGTATAATTATTTAATTTTTGCCAACGTTTCCACCCACTTTGCAGGTCTTCAATGGTATTTATCTTTTAGAATTTTTTTTTTCTATTATCATGATCCTTACTGAGATGGTTTAATATATATATAATATATCTTTGGCTAAGAAGGTTTGTTTCAAAACCCCTTATAATCAGGTTAAAACAGCTGACACATTTTCTCTTGTTAAGCCAAGTCAATTCAACAAATATTCTATTCTTGATATGTTATTAACATTATTACATTATTGGTACAATTAAAGTATAAATGTATGCATTTATTTTTATTAGGCTTATATTACTTATTATATGTTTTTGATAACACAAAAGAGATAGTTGAAAGGGGCTGGTTATATCCAGTAACGAGTAGATCCTTGAAAAGTTACTTAGTGCTGATCCAATATGTAAGATGGCAAGATTGCTGAATTCATGGGGATGAGGGTTCCAGAGGTTGGATTGAGATCGTTGTGGGTTCGATTCCCATTGGAGTCAATATTTTTCTTAGGGTTACTAAGGCCGGCCACAAATTGAGCACAGGGCAGGCGCAATACAGGGACAGCAGATTTGTAACTAAGACATAGCACCTAGTTCAGAGCCGTCTTCACAAATTTA